CAACAGTTAATCTCCTCTGGGAGGACACAGTAACAAGGTGTCCTGGGGCTATGTGGTGGATATGTGAAGGCATAGCATATGCTGGAACATAATGGATATGTTAATAGATAAGGCTTTGAGGCACTGACCTCAAAGGAATGTTAATCTGATCAACAACAGTTTTACTTCTCAATAAAAACCAAGTGTCCACCCGATTCGGTGGCTCAGTCTATCTCTGAAGGCTGAGTCCCTTGGTCTCGCACTTAAATATTACTTCTGTCTCTGTCTCTCTTTATTCAATCTGTGCCGCCCCTCTCGTGTCCCATTTGCCCTTGCCACGCTGGACGTGACATTATTTTGCCCCCCAAGAACCAGTTTTTGCTCCTTGAAAAGACTGCAGGCACATGTGTCTGTTCATATGCAGTTGCATAGACACACATGTTTTGTGTGTATGCATATATACAGATGTGTGTATATTTTCCAGATAAAAAGTTTGCATACAGTTTAAACAATAATAGCACTTAGTACTTTTACTGGGTGTCCAGGTATTCTTCTAAGTACTTTATATGATTAGCTCAATTATTCCTTACATCAATCCTATGAAGCAAGTATAATACTATTATTATTGTCATTTTACAGATGAGAAAACTAAGTCCAGACAGAATACATAATTTCCCAAGGTTGCTCGGCTCATCAGTGGCAAAGCTGGGATTTGGACCTAAGCAGCCCAGCTCCAAAGTCTACACTTTTTTTAAAAATTGTGGTAAGAATACTTAAAATGAGATCGACCCACTTAACAAATATTTAAGTGTACAATACAGTATTATTAACCAGAGACACAATGTTATATAGCAGATCTCTAAAGCTTAATTGTCTAGTCAAATTACCTAGTTAAAATTATTTAATCAAATTATCTAGAAACAGGAAGTAGAATGGTGGTTGCCAGGGACTGGGGGAAGTCTATGCTTTTAATCCATACTGCATCATACTTTGATTCTGTTGACCACAGAACTGTATCCTTTCCCTCACTTTCTAATGTGTTCCTTAGTATTACTCTGTGAGGTAGGTAGAGCAGGTACCAGGATTTCTGTTTTGCCAGAGACTCGTGGTCATATAGTGGAAACATCCACAAGGGTGGATGTAAAGGAAGTCTTTGCTCTGTCCACAGAGACAACATGAACAACTTGGATCCAGATGGGTATTCCAGATGCAGGGGAAAGGTGAGCCTCTAAAGAGCTCTCTCCAAGTCCACATGTAAGGAACGGCAGAAATAACTATGCATCTATTCATGTCAGGGCATCAACAACTCCAGACACAGAGCAGGGCAGCACAGTGGTCAATGGGACACTCACTGCAGGGCCACACACGCTCCTCAGGGACACTTCTTCCAAAGCTTTCATGAAGATACTCAGAAGCAAAAGTAATCTCCACGGGTGGCGTACAATGGAGGGACTTCCTTCACATCCTATTGGTGGGTTCCTTAGCCTGATTGTGAGAGTGAGTGATCCCACAATTTTCCTGGGATCTAGAGAATATTCTCACCCACATTATTTCTTTACAGTTGAATTATTTTACATGTTTTAATTAAGATGTAATTGACATACAACATATTAGTTTCAGGTGTACAACAAAAGATTTGGGATCTGTATATATTGTGAAATGATTATGTCCATCACCACACATAATTATCAATTTTTTGTGTGATAAGAACCTTTCAGATCTACTCTCTTAGTAACTTTCCTTTGCTTTTTTGCATTTTTTTATTTTTTACATTTTTTTCTCTTTTTTTTTTCTTTTGTAGTAACTTTCAAATAAAAATGCAGTATTATTAACTACGGTCGCTGTGTAGATTCCATCTCCTTGACCTATTTATTGTATAACTGGAAGTGTGTGCCTTTTGACCGCTTTCTAGCCCACATGTAGGAGCTCAGGGTATAAGCTCCCTCTGTACTTCCAGAACAGTCTACCCCAGCTGAGCTGGATCGCAGGCCTGTCACCCTCGGGAACATGCTCCAGGCTAATGTTCTGGCTTGGAGTTTGTTTTTTAGGGGGCCCCCTCCAGAAAAGTTCGTTTAACTGCCCTTCTTCTGCCTATCACTCTGCCACTACTCAGCCAGGGTCATGAAAACTAACCTTTTGAAGATTATCCTGTTATACATGTGGGAAAAGACAGTAAGTCAAAAACCATGGACTTTGTCTCAGGCTAGCCAACTACAGTTTATCTTCAGAAAAGTCACTTAATCTTTCTGAGCCTCTGTTCTCGCATGAGAAATAAGAAGGAATTAGTCTCACATAGATGAAACTCCAACCTGTCTTCTGGTTGCATTCCAAAATTGAATGAATTGTCAAGAATTAAAAAAAAAAAAAGGAGTTTCATTAACAACAGAAATGTGTCACATAAAATTGGCTGGTCTATTAACAAGATCACCGTGGTAAGACCAAACTCTGAAAGCTCTTTGAGGGCTGTCACTGCTAGCTCCCCAGTCTGAAATACAGAAGGCAACCTAGAAATACTTTTTAGAATTCGTGAATTATTTGAAATTCAAGTAACTACACTCATTTCACCTCCAGCTCTATTTCACTTGACTTCCAGACAATTCTGAAAGGTCTGAACCACAAAAGGGCATCCAATTGACCTGATCTTAGGGACTCCCAGCTGAGCATCTGCAAGCCAGTTTGCTATTCCAATCTCTGCTTTTCTCCTTAGAGGAAAGCTGCCATCTCTTTGATCACTAGATCAGAGCCACCAATTTTAGCTTTGGCTCCAAGGATGGAACAGTGATCTTATTTCAACAATACTATATGAAAAAAGATTTCATACTGAAGTAAGCTCAAAGCGATGCCAAGAATAATGAAAATAAACAGGTTAACGCTTCAATGCACCGCTAACTAATCTAACCCATAGCCAAAGCCTGGGTATTGTCTATCACGTAAGTTGGTTTTGCAACAACTAAAATAGCCTGAGGACACACCAGCATTAACGCTTCAGTGCAGCATGGGGCAAACTAGTTATACCTGTGCAAGATAGCCATGCTCGTTAGCATTGAAGTGCCAGTGAGGGGCCCGGAGGCCATTGCTCTTTATTCTCAGGGTCCCCAGAGTCATCTGTGATCTCTGACTGTTCAAGCTGCTGCCAAAAGCCTCTTCTTCAATGCTGAGATAGTCTTTGACATTGTTTCTGTACCGGGCCCACTGGATTGCACCACCAGAGAACTCAAACACCTGAAAAGAGATAAGCAAGTAACCATCAGCATGGAGGCCATCTCCTGAGGACTAAACAGCCACCAAGGCCTATAGAGGAAGAGGGAGGCAAAATAGAAAAGGCAGTGGTGGTGACATGAATAATAGAGTTCCAAAAAGGAAAAGGAA